AACAGAGTACAGCTACTCATGTCACAGCAGCCAGAAAGCAGATAAAAAGACACACAGGAAGCAAAAAGGGAAAGATATATCCCCCACATATAGACCCTTAAGTGGCCTACTTTCTCCAGCTAGGACCAGCCTCCTACCTTTCACCACCTCCTGATAACACCATTGTTACAAATTTATCAGACAACCCACACATCAAATCAAAGACCTAGTGGAAACACCCCTGACATACACACACTCACACATACCCCTAGGTGCGCACTTCACTTATCTACTATGTATTAAAGCATAATAGGACTCAACATTTTTCATTTCAAAAATTACTGCTAGCTGGTACTGATGGGGTCCCAGACTACTCTTCAGGAACCACTGTGCAAAGTAATTGAAGAATTCTAAGGATGAGGCTGATATGACTCAAGCTATAGTATCATAGAAGACCGTGAGAGAAGACTGGGGAGGTGAGCATGGATGCAGGTGGACAGTCAGAAGATGACTTTCAGTCTTCAACAAAGATCAGATTGTGACTGGGACTATGGTGACAGCAATGAAGATAGTGATGGATTCTAGAGAGACTTAGAGGATCATTTCTATAGGAGCTGGTCATGAATATGGAGCTAAGGTGGGGGTAGCTACTTGGCTTCTTCTTAAACAAGTCAACAAATCCGTGATGCTGTTCATCGAGAGAAACTCTGTAAGAGGGTGGGACCTGAAGGAGCAGGTTGTGAACTCATTCTTGGATCTTCTCAGCATCTGGTACCTGGTACCTGCAAAGCTTTCAAAAGACGGTGAGTAGACAGTTGCTCTGTGGCCAAGAATTAGGAGGCAAGATCAAGGCAAGATGAAAGTCAAGTGATTATAAGTGATAGGAAGCCATGGAAGGTAGATGAGATAGCCAGGGAGATTGGTTAGAACAAGATGGGGAGAAGACATAGGACCTCCAACAGGTAGTGACTAGGCAGGAGATAAACCCACAAATGATAGCCTTGGACTAGGATAGAAGACGGCACACTGCCAGGAGCGGAGGGAGGGAGGGGACAGTGGCCATGGCGCACATACTGCTCAAGGTGTAATTGAGTAAGGGAGAGGCTGGGAGTAGGAGAGAGCTGAAGTTGGTGTGGCAGGAGTGTTTCATCACCGACCTTTATTAGGGTCATTGTACACCCGTTCCCTCTCCAGCTATGACCCCTAACATACCATTTCCCCTCCCCAGTCACTGCCAAGTGTATCAGGGGTTCTCTCTTTTTTCCTTTCATCTCCCACTTAATCTTTTTACTACTTCAAACTGACTTCTCACTCCATTACATTCTTGTTAAATATCATGTCTATTTTTATTTGTTGTATCAATCAACAAAATGGTTATGAAATTAATCTTCTTGTCACAGAAAGATCCTCTTTCTCTTTTCGTTGTAGTGAGCTAAAGAATGCAAGATCCTCGTTCATATCTTTGTCCTATTTCTCATTGGTGAATTATCCTTAAAGAATAGATAATCATAGGAACCTTTGCTCAAGTGGCCAGTGGAGGAGAAAGGCAGTTTCCAGCTGAAAATACACAACTTTCACTTATGGGAGAATTCTGTTTCCATGTCTATGCAGAAAAAAAAAGTCATGCTCAAGTTTCTGTCTACTTAGTAGCAGCCTAGAGCTTAGGACCCAGAGCTGGTCAGATTTGAACACAGGGCTTGGTTTCACAACTTTCCACCTGTGGAACTTAAGACCAAACCCTCAACCTCTCTGAGACTCTTTTTTTTAAACTTATGATTGAAGGAAGAATAAAGATACATCCTCAAAACATGGTTATGAAGTATTACCTGTTCTTCATAGTACCTGGGTGAGGTTAACAATCAGTATAATAGTCACTATAGAAACTAGAGAGATGGCTCAGCGGTTAAGAGTGCTGGCTGCTCTTCCAGAGGTCCAGAGTTCAATTCCCAGCAACCACGTGGTAGCTCACAACCATCTATAGTGAGATCTGGCATAAAGTTGTACATGCAGATAGAGCACTCATACATAATAAAATAAAATATAAAAATTTTAAAAATCACTATTGCTAAACACAAAAGAAAAGGGTTGAACCTGGGAGAGTAGCTCAGTGGTGGTTCATGGAGCGTGGATAAGGTGCTAGATTCAATCTACTGAGAGGGGAAAGGGAGAGAAAGAGGGAGACAGAGACAGACAGAGATACAGAGGTAGAGAGAGACAGAGACAGAGACACAGAGAAGGGAGAATACACCAAAATACCAGAAATTGTTTCTCAAAGTTATCCTTAAATCTCAAGCATCTATTTGGATATCTCTATACTGGCCACTGTAAAGAATAGCTCATGTTTCCACCATGGATTGTGCCGTGTTTGGTCAACATCATACTCTTACAAAAAAAAAAATAGCTCCCTGCAGTTGCTTCTTAAACCTTACTTCTCTCAAGCTTTTACGGCAGTTGAAAGAAAGCAGGTACAAGGAGAGAAGTGGTTAGCTTTTTAAAGGATCGTGTTTGCATGCAGAACAAACACGCCCAATGAGGAGAACTGTCCCACCAGTGCGCTCATGAAAAGCACAAAGCAGACAGTGGACAGGCATTCCATTCACTCATCGTACCAACAGATAATTTCCAAATGCTTTGGAAAAGACCCAGAGCTAAGATCAAAACCAAGTACAAGAGACTTGGGTGATTTCAAACTCTCTGCCTGCCAGGTATAGCCTTGTCTCATTGCTTAAAGTAGATAAGAGTCAACAAGTTGAATGTCTAGAAGAGAAGTGTTATGGGATATCTTTCTGTATGCTGTGAATATGTGTTTCTCTGATTGGTTGATACATAAAGCCATTTGGCCTATGGCAGGGCGGGATGAATCCAGGCAGGAAAATCCAAGGGAGATAGACAGAAGAAGAAAGAAGAGGAGAGAGATGGCTCAGTGGTTAAGAGCACTGATTGATGTCCCAAAGGACCTGGGTTCAATTCCCAGCACCTGCATGAATGCACCTATCTTATCATGCCCAGAAGCCACTGTGTGGCCCCTCTCTCCTCTCTTTCTTCTTCCTGTCTCTCTCCTGGATTTCCTGCCTTCCCCTAAGCTGCCTGGCCATAGACCAAACAGCTTTATTTATCAACCAATCAGAGCAACACATATTCACAGCATACAAAAAGACATCCTACAGAGAGAAGTGGATTTTCTGCAGCTTGGTATGTGTGAACTATAAAAGATGCACATGTAGCTTTTCACACAGTATTTGTTGTCTGTCCCTTGTCAGTGAAGTTAACAGCAACGGAAGGATCACCGAGGAAGGCACTTGCAGTGTGCACACACTCACCTGTGTTTTGTTTTGTTTTTTTATGAAATCCCGCCACAAACCTCACAGCAAGGAGTCTTATCATATCCTGCAGAAGCTAGGACAGATGGGAAAATGTGTCCCGGTCACATTTGAATTCGTAAAATAACCAGGGCTCAAGCAGGCACCCACAGCTCAACCCTGCATTTACAGTCAGCTTTTGGCTTTAAAGTGTGTGTGGGTGGGGTGGGGGGGTGAGGGGGGTGGAGGAATCATATTCTGGAGTTTAAAAATACTACCTTCTTATTTACCCAAGCCCACTGACTCTTTGAAGGTCGTGACTATCCCAATAAATCAAGTGTGAAACTACCTTTCTCTCTCGCCAGCATCCTTTGTTTGTCTTGATTTAGGCTGTTCTGCAAAGCAGTGTAGATAGCCAGTCAATTTTCTTTCCCCAGAACTAATCTTCACCACCACCTCTCCAAGCAGTGGGGACCCCACATAACTGACCCTCCAGAACTTTCAGTAAATTAATCACCGAGTTCTGAAGCTCAGCAAAAAGGCACTTAGTCCGACCCAAGAGCAACAGCTGTCTTTGGCAGCCAGTGAACGCTTTCCCTCGCTGGCAGCCAGGCCCCCGAGAACAGGGACAAGGAAGCAGCAGGACTGTTATTAACTCCGAGGTCAGCTAACACCGGTGGCATGGAGACCGGAGGAAAAAGGACATGCCTTCCTAGGAAGATGTTTCCTAGCCTCATGCTTATTGTTTCACTGAGCCCATTGTGTTTGCAAGGACACTTTTATGTACCTAAGGAACTTCTGCTCTTTCGTAGCTCATAAGGAATGTTCATTGTGACACACACAACCTTGATCAGCCAAGCACCAGATTCCTGCACCATTTACAGGATGGGGGCCCTCTTTGTGCAGTGATGGGGATTGGACTCACAGCTTTGTGCATGCTAGGCAAGCACTATACCGTTGAGCTACACCCTCAAAAGGGTTTACTTCTAAGTAGGTATGATCTAACTGTGTTATGATAAGAGCATATATAGAGAGAGTATATATATTTTTCTTGGACATTCTAAAGGCTGTAGGTCACAAAGCCACTATCCACCATAACTTACTGCATCTTTATTCTCTCTCTCTCTCTCTCTCTCTCTCTCTCTCTCTCTCTCTCTCTCTCTGTGTGTGTGTGTGTGTGTGTGTGTGTGTGTGTGTGTGTGTGTGTGTGTGTGTGTGTTTATGTGGGAACATGTGCATATGTGCATGCATATGTGTGGAGGCTAGGGGTTAACCTTACATGTCACTCTTCAGATACTGTCTACCTTTTCTTTTTGAGACAGTTTCTTATTGGTTTGGAACTCACCAAGTAGGCTAGAATAGCTGGCCAGTGTGCTGCAGGGATTAAGGGCAGTGGCAGATTAAGGGCACACACCACAAACCCTGGCTTTCCACATGGTTCTGAAGACTGAGTTTAGGTCCTTGCACAGCAAAGCAAGGACTTTACCAATTGATCCATCCCCACAACTATCTTTAAACCGTGGAAATTCTTGGTTTAAAATTCTATACATGAAAAAAATCTAAAAAATAAATTTAAATATAGTATAGGCTGGTGAAATGGCTTAGCAGGTAAGGGTGATTGCCACTGAGCCTGACTGCCTGAGTTCAAATCCACATGGTGGAAAGAAAGGACTTATTCCTGTAAGTTGTGCTCTGATCTCCACATACGTACCATAGCAAGTGCATGCCATGCTCCCCCACCCAAATTACACATGCCCACTTGAGCATGAACACACACAATAAATTTTTATAAAATTCTATACGTGTTTTGGAGTGTTTGTTATAGGACAGTCTCTGTGCAAAAAGTCACATGTCTTATTACTATTATAACCTCCACAAGAATTACTGTATATGAAGCCATTATTAGCATTTTACTGATTAGAACATGGTTATGTAATTTGCTGAAAACAGTTGCACACTTTATTTTCAGAATAGGTCTTGTAGAGTCCAGGCTGGTCTCACACTCACCTTGTAGCCATGGAGTGCTCTAAATACTGCTCCTCCTGCCTGTCTCTCCTGAGCACTTGGGATTACAGGCATGTACCACAACACCAGGCTTAATGAGCACAAAGTTTAAGGAAAGGTGATAGGCATCTGAGTGTTAGTTATAGGTAAAGTATCTGATGATACCATGCTGCCATTGATGTTTTACAGCAGCTTCCCTAGAGATAGTGAGAAAAACCTATGATTTCAACCCCAAATATGTTAACCTGCAAGACTCAAGTTCTTAAACAACTATAAAGTCAAAATATCAATCTGTTGACAGCTGCAGCCAACATCTAACCAATGCCAAACCCAGAACAAAATGGGTCAGTACATTTGATGTGCTCTGCCATAGCCAACGTCTCTAATTGCTTTTGGCTCTAGGTTTCTGAGGGTAATATATGACAGAGAGTATTTTCTAGGTGTAAATGGCTGAATGTTGTTTCAGACCCATCCAAACTACATCAGCACCAGGGATAAATTGTATTTATTCGTCAACTCTGCACACCTTTTGTGGAAAAAGCGACCTTTCTTAATGGTTATTACAGGAAACATGGCAGGTGGCTGGTGCAATTCCAGTTTAAAATAAGCACCATATTTTCTGCAGCCTGGTCATTGAATGATACTTGAGGATAGGAAGAAACCCATCTTGCATAATAATGAAGGGGTCTTTGAGATTATACCTGCGTGATCTTTTTATTAGCCACCTAACAGCAAGACACAGTTTATGTTTCTGCAACCAGTCCCTGTTGATTTTATAGCTTCTATTTTATTTGTTTAGTTTTTCAAGATTTATCTTTATTTTGTGTACATTGGTGTCTCCCTGTCTGTTGTCTGTGTAAGGGTATCAAATCCCCTGGAACAGGAGCTACAGACAGTTGTAAGCTGCCATGTGGGTGCTGGGAATTGAACCTGGGTCCTCTGGAAGAGCAGCCAGTGCTCTTAACCACTGAGCCATCTCTTCAGCCCCATTCTCTTGCTTCTAAAACTAACACATAAATGTTTACTTTTTTACAAAATTTTTACTATTTTATTTTGTGTGCACATGTGTATGAGTATACATGTGGTGAGCAGAGGGTGATATCCAGTGTCCTCCTCAATCTACATCCACCTTATTTTTTGGAGAAAGGGTCTCACTGAACCTGGAGCTCACTGGTTTCTAGACAGGCTGAGCAGCAGCTCCAAGAGATCGCCTTGTCTTTGCTATCTCTGTGCTCAGGTTATAGGTGCATACTGCCATTCCTGGCTTAAAAGCAAGCGAGCAAACAAACAAACAAGAAAACCACGGGCCCTAAAGGTTCAAACTCATGTCTCCACACTTGCATAGCAAGCAATTTACTTACAGACCCATCTCCCCAGCCCCAATTATATTTATTTTCTAAGCAAAAGCACTATGTTTCTTTCCTGCTGACAGACTATTACAAGCCCTGGGACTCATGCTGTGGCACTCTAACATGGAGAAGCCAGTGCTAGTAGCCACTGGACACCAACCCTCTAGCAACACCTGTGCCTCCAAGACAGGAGCTTTCATTCCCATGCCTCCTCATCTGGCTATGCTCTTGAGAAGACAGGAGATCTCTGTCTCTTGCCAAAGCTTGGCTTAGTGGACTCCATCCAGACTTACCCGTGGGACAGTTTCCGGAGCAACATGGAGCTCTGGGAAAGATCAGCCATCTGGTGGGGATTGGGTGGAAGTGGTAGGGAGCCTTGCTTAGTTTGTGAAGAGATGAAATGGGCATTTCTCGTAGAGCTTAAATACATAGAGAGCTCAGAGGAAAAAGCTGTGGGGTGATTCTTATCATGAAAACTGTATGTGTATATAATCCTTCTTTGGGGAATCCCTTCGGGTGCTGAGGTTTCTGAATATGAGGAAAAGATTTTGATTCATGGAAGATGCTGACAAAGCCACATACAGCCATTTCTTGGCTGATTTTATTATTCTCTAATCATTCCTTGCAGATACAAATTGTTTAAATATTACAAACTATTCCGAAGTCTACCTTATTAAATAAACGTCTAAAATTGGATATATTTGGACACATTTTGTTAAAGTAAATAGTTAAAAATGGATACATTTGAACACATCTCCAACCTCAGATTAGAGAGGGAGAGCCAGAACTGAGGTAAGTGTCTCTGTGGTTCGTATTTATCCCAGTTCCTGATGGTAGTACAAAGGCCTCTGTATAAGTCCTAGTCTTCATGTATTAAGCCAGAGTGTGTTGTGATGATCATGTCCCACCTATATAATAGCATTGCTAACAATTTGAAAAAAAAAAATACTAGCTAGATGACTTCTCAAGATGAAGAAGAAATAAAGGAAATTAATTCATAATAAAAATTCCAACATTACATCTCACTGGTCATGGAGGCACACATCATTAATTCCAGCACCTAGGAGGCAGAGGCAGACAGATCTACATGAGATCTAGGCCAGCCAGGCCTACATATCAAACCGAGTCTACATAATAAGACCCTATATCAGAAAAGCAAACAAAACAAAGACATTATGTCTTAGGCCTGCTTACACCAGAGGCCATAGTGACGTCTATACCCGCTTTCGTCAAATTCTTGTGGATTTCGGGAGAGTTGTCTGTTCCTCTACCTTCCACCTACTGTTGTGCATGGGAACTAATTAAGCACATTTACAAGTATGTATGAAGAATTTCTATGAGTGTAACAGTTATACACTGCAACTGCTATGCAGATTCAAATTTCCATGACTATCGCTGTCATTGGTGTTAAGATTTTCTGAGTGGTGAACAATGCTTTGGAAAATTGAAGATAATCAATAATAACCTACTCTCTGTAATGTATCCCTGGAAACATGATATTAAAACATATCTATTTACCAGTCATCCATCTATCTGTCATCTGTCTATCTATCTACCATATGGTTTAGATTCTACATAAAATAACCATATGCTAGTTTAAACCCAATTTCTGGTATGACTTCTAAAAGTCATTCAGGACTCAGGAAAATGTCCCATTTGTGACCCTCTAATTAGAATGATGATATTATAACCATGTGTATCCTAAAGAGCCTCTGGTGGCTTTGCTCCAATTGTTCACAGGAACACCACGCTGACGCTCTTCAGCACTTTCCCATCTGTGTGGACCGTGGTTCCTACAAGGATGCCCTGATCTTTCCTCCTTCCTAGATGCATTCTTTATCCCTGTTGGAGCTCAGAAAGGTTGGTCCTATGCCTTGCATGTCTTCTCCCCCAAGCTCTACAAGCTGAACCAGATAATTCTCCTACTTCTGTACTTCCAGTTTCCAGTGTTCACATTAACGCTTTTAAAGTTGCATATGAACCTCACCTCAAATCAACTGTAAGCTACTTAAAAGTCATCCTTGTAGTACATCTATAGACTCAGTATGTAGATGCGCTTGAGGACTACAGGTGAGTTAGTAAAGGCGAACAGAGGGAGTGGGTTATATGCTTTTTGAACTTATGAGGATGAAAATATGGGGCAAGACAGTCTGCAATTTAACTTTGAGTCACCATTGTACCCCAGTGTGAATTCATACCAGTGAATTATCTTCATGGTGCCTAGTGGTTCTGCTCATACCCAATTTGACCATATTGGGATGAGTCTCAGAAGTGAATCCATCTACTTTTGCTAAAGTATTGGTTAGTTCTCAAATCACCATATGTGTGATATATATTACCTGAGTCTGGAGATACTGGTGCATAAGCAAGATAGAATAAAACAAACAACTAATAGTGGTGATATATTTGTAATCTAATAAATAAAACTTGCCTAAAGATCAGAGGACAGAGCTAGCCACAGAGTTGGTTACAGAGGTCAGGCAGTGGTGGCACACACCTTTAATCCTAGCACTCAGGAGGCAAAGGCAGAGATCCGTCTGGATTTCTGTGAATTCAAGGCCACGCTGGGCTACACGAGATTAATCCAGTCTAAAAGAGAAACAGCCAGACAGTGGTGGCACACACCTTTAACTCCAGCACTTGGGATCACACACCTTTAATTCCAGCACTAGGAAGATTGAGACAGGAAGTGATATGGCTGGACAGAGAAAGGAATATAAGGTGGGAGGAGACAGGAACTCAGGTCTTTTCAGGCTCTTGCAGGCTGAGGAGTTGGTGAGTTAAGAGGTAGCTTGTGGGGGCTGGAGAGATGGCTCAGAGCTTAAGAGCACTGACTGCTCTTCCAGAGGTCCTGAGTTCAATTCCCAGGGCCCACGTGGTGGCTCACAACCACCTGTAATGAGATCTGGCACCCTCTTCTGTATACATAATAAATAAATAAATAAATCTAAAAAAAAAAAAGAGAGAGGTGGCTTGCTCTGCTTCTCTGATCTTTTAACTTTCACCCTGATATCTGGCTCTGGGTTTTGTAGCAGGAATCTTAGAGAGTCTTATTAATAAAATCAAACCTGAGGCCAGTTATTGGGGTGAAATGCTGGAAGGTCAGAGAGACAGAACAAGCCACAGCTAACCTCACCTGGCCAACTTCTCAGCTGGTCTTGTTTCCTCAGACTGGAAGCTTCTGTGTCCTCATCCCAATGTCTCTCAGCTGAACTGTGCTGCTAGAAGCCTGAAAGCTTAACCAGCCAAATGCTTAACCATCCAAATACTGCTAGTTTCTGGTCCTCACGCCTTATAAACCTTTCTGCTTTCTACCACCACTCCCTGGGATTAAAGGCTCGCTTTCTGGGATTAAAGGCGTGAGTCACCATGCCTGGCTGTTTCCAATGCGGCCTTGAACTCACAGAGATCCAGGGGGATTTCTGTCTCTGGAATGCTAGGATTAAAGGCGTGTGCTAACATTTTCTAGCCTAAGTATCTTGTGGCTTTTCTGTTCTCTGACCCCAGATAAGTTTATTAAGGTACACAATATTTTGGGGAACACAATACCACCACAGGGTTTTTATTAAGATCAATTAGAATTTGTGCAATAACTAATGCTGCTTGTCCCTTCAAATCCCCACTTTGATGAACACTTCTCCATATAACACACTTCAAATCCATCAATCAACCAATCAGTCTAGTTGCTGAGACCACCTCCAGCTGCAACCTACATTCCACAAACTGCATGAACATCCGGCAGGCCACTGAAAGTAGAATGATGGTGGTGATTGACACGCAGCAGCATTGCTTGACTGCTAGCAAAGCTTCTGCACTGGTCCTTGTTCCTAAGTCATCAGTATTTTATCTCAGTTATGCATCATTTTGCTGTACAACGTTTCCCCCAATTTAGTCAAATTACATATATGCAATATGTATAAATATATGTACATACGTATATACATACATATATACAATGTACATACACACATATATCTATATATAATACTGGATTCAGTCAACGTTGATCACAAATAATCATTTTATAAATATGTGCAAATTTCCTACTATAGCTGTAACTTTGTTGGACCACCACCATTGTTCAAAAGAAGTTAAACCTCTTAATAGTTCCCAATTCTACACTAATGAAGTATTTAATCCCTCAGACAATGCACTGGGTATTTTCAAAACATTTTCTCATTTAATCCTCCTAGGGACTTGATCGAGACAGGCAGTATTCTTGTCATCCCCAGAAAAGAAAACTAAACCTTAGAGAAGTGTCTTTACCTTCATAAGCAGAATAGTCAAGAGTCTGGCCCTGTTCTGCCTGCCTCCAAAGTGTGCGTCCTAACCCTGATGCCCTTCTGATCTTAGTTGGGAAAGGAGGGAATGTGGGTCTGAAAGAAGACTTGGAACACACAGGGTGAAATGAAGGGCTAATGGGAACTGTTGAATGCATGGACTCAGAGGCAAGAGCTAATGCTGGTGATACTGGAGATGTGCAGTTGGGTCATTCTTGGAAGGAGAGTGTGCATGGCAAGTATGAATGAATATTTGGGGACAGAGGCTGAGCAAGAGGTAACACTGGGACATACACATGGGGAAAAAAGCCATGAGTAAGTTACCAATGGAATGTATGACTGAGAAGTTTATGGGAGAACCAGCTAGAAGCAAATGCCAGAGAAACCCACACAGCCACCTGCATCAATGTCTCATGAACTTCATGCAAATAACTCCGGTGTACCTCACGAAAGTCTGTTTCTTTTGTTCTCCAGCTCAAGCAATCAAAGCCTGTGAGTCATGTCCTGGCCACCTTTCATCTGTTCTAGGCCAGCTGTCTAGAGACACCCAAGGAGAAGGTGGATGAAAGGCAAATTACCTGTCTTTTGGGTTTCGTGGCATGCTGGCCTAAGGGTGACAATTGACAGGGGAAGTCCTGGAATTGATGCTCATTTTGAAGGGTCATCAAGTAGATTACAGCTCAAATTAGATTTTGTAATCCAATCCAGCACCAGGAGCAGTAACAGTGGGATTGGGATCTATGTCTAACATATGTCTACCTCTAGGGGGCGCTGGGGAGCACAGACCTCCTGGTCTTTATTTGCCTTTGGTTCCTGACTCTCCACACCATCTCTTCTTTCTGACTCCATTGTGTGAAGAAATGGCCTTCAGGCTTCCCACACAGGCCTGCTTGAGGAGGAACAAGAGCAGCTGGACCAGGACTACATGACAATGTGAGTCTGTCATGCCTCACATGACAAGGAGCATTGCTCACTTACCCAGAAGGGATGCATATCCTCTAGTAAAAATCATCAATAAAATATAACACAACCTGGAAAGTGAAACACCGAAAGAGATTTATCACGTCTGTACATTAGCCCTCGCGCTAAGCCATTCACCCAGAAGCTTCATGTATAATGCGACCGTGATCATTACAGCTCTCAGAGGCAGATACCGCAATCATCCCCATTTATAGATGGGATAACTGAAGTAGGGCGGTAAGTACACCTGGCTATCCTGGAATGCTCTGTTCAAATACGGCTGGTACGTTAGGAAACAACTGTGATTTTTTTCCCCCCTAATTTGCTTATGTGTGATTCTCACTGCAATAAACGCCCAGTTAATGGAGAACTATACCCAGAAGAGCTGGGTTACCTGGACTCTTCACTGTTTCTAAGAATGGTTCGTCCCATCTATACGATTTTGTAAGTTTACAATGATGCAAAAACCATACTTTCGGTTTTGAATTTTGACCTTGTCCCAGCCAGTGTTATGTGGTGGGAATAGCTATGACATGTGGCAGTGACAGTGAGCCACAGCTCCAAGTCAGCTCTGTGAGCACCAGGAGAAAGAGCTGGTGTGCGACAGCATGCAATGCTGTATGGCGCTCAGTTAGCTTGAAATGGTTAAATGCATTTCAATTCATGTCATCTTCAACTTCTGAGGGGTGTACTAGGGAACATAACCCCACTCTAAGTCAGGGAACATCTGCACAGGAAGCACAACCCTATCCAACATCTACCACCCACCAGGGATGTTCAGAGCCCCACCTTCTTCATCCAGCCCTGCAAGTTTCCTTTCCCCTAACCTCATTGTACCTCACGAGCTCCAACTTTCCCATGAAATTCCCACGAGTAAATGTCACATCATCTTCATAATAGGTGCCGTATTTATTGGGGGCATCCATGTATTTCTTGGCTATGTAACAAGTGTAATCATGAATACCATGTGTTATGTTCTTAACTATTTTTTTTGTAAAGTGTCTCTGATGAGGTTTTTAATGTGCTGTGCCCATAACACCCTTTTTCCTTATAAGCACTGTGGTTTTTATTACCCAGTTCTGCACAGCACAGTGATTTTTAGAAACACATATGTTGTGTTAAAGCATAACTATTAGTAACTGAGACAAGGTCACTCACTAAGTAACAGCCTAGCAGGGATTTCAACATGATCTGCCAAGGAACTGCTGTTGAACCTCCATATTTTCTCTGCTTTGGCATGTAGGATCTCTTTTAATCTTCACAGCAGCCATAAGAGGGTCCTTCTTATTTCTCTTTTACGGATGAAAAAAAAATCAAGATTCAAAAACTTGACAGAGCAAATCTTAGATGATGTTAACCATAAGTGGGAACTTGGAAGTTCACGTGGGAGGCCTGTTTTCTCTGAGGAGATGACGCAGGTCAGGATTCCGGCAGGAGTATAGAGGGTCCTAGAGGTCTAGTGAAGGGATAACATCACAGGTCAACAGAGGCCTGAATTCCAGTGTTCCTTCATCATGACTTGTGCGAGGGTCATGGCTATTCATTAGTCCCTTCCCTTTGTTCTGTTCACTGAGTCCTTCATCAAGCAGTTTCTGAACAAGTGTGATGTTTCTAACATTTAAGTCAGAGCTTCCCTCCATAATCTACTCCCTTCACACTCGGGATTTCCCCTAACTTTTTATTTGTATATGTGTGTGTATACCCATTTGTATGCAGTGAAATGTGTGAGTACATACGTGTGTGTGCACACAAGTGTATGCGCAAAGGATACATTCGGGCATCATCCTTTAAGAGCGATCCATGTTTTTTAAGACAGGGTCTCTCACTGCCCCCACACTTATCAAGTAGGCTGGCTGTCCAGCAACCCCAGGAGTCTGCCTGCTGCCTCTGCAGTATTGGGATTACAAATACATGCTACAAAGCCTGGATTTCTTGCCCCCAAGGCTCTGCAAATTACACTCAGGTCCCCATGCTTGAAAGCCAGCGCTCTACCAGCTGAGCCCTCCCCCTAGCCTGGAGTTCCCTAACTAATACCGTACCTTATCGTTTATCCTCAGTATTCACCACTAGCAATGCTGCCATGATCATTTCCCATATATCCTTTGGTCCTTTCCCTAATATGATGGTGCTCTCAGGAAGACTACAAATCCATCTTTTTTTTTTCTTCTATATGTCTTTAGCACTCAGTACCATACCTGACACACACTAAGTGCTTAATAAATGCCTGACTGGTTACCACTGACCTTCCACTTGGCCTAGATACAAAGGAAGCACAGAGTACAGAGAGTATCTTCCGTCTAGACAGGCATCTCTCAAACAAATAAAGTTTTAACAGTTATTGAAATTCTTGAGCTGGGAGGACGGGTCCCTGCAGTGTGCACACAGGAGAACTGTAAAGAAAAAGTCGCTGACAGATGGGAAACTGATCCACAACAGCGTCTATAAACGGATCATGAAATAATCAGGTTGCTTGGTCTTTTATTTGTTTCTGGATGGAGTCCCAGGCAGGGAAGATAACCTTCGCCTCAGAACAATGTGGCGCATCATATGTAAATGTAATGAGATGATGAATTGTTCCAGTGTCATTATGCCCATGATTTATGGGGAGACATTATCTGCTAAAAGCCCAGGCTGAAAGAATATTGATTTCACTTTTACTGAGACAGCCATTTAAAACTTTTTTTTTTTTTAAAGACAGAACATGATTGTTTGAAAGACCAACGTCAAAAAGGCCAGTTTCAGACCCTTTGGTAGGGAGGAATGGGAGAAAGTCATGGGGTGAGATGGCTCCTTTTAGGGACAGGTGAGGTCCCCATGCTCTGTGTTCTCCTGTAACGCCCTGTAGCTCTCCTTTGCTGCTCTGAGCTGCACTCATGGGACTTGATACCAAATTCTCTGCTAGGACCTTTATAGGTTCAGAGCCAACTTTTACTTCATGCTGGCAAATGCTTTTCTGACCTTTAATCCTGTTACTCAATTTATTTTGAAATCCAGAGGAAGTAGGTTGATACTACTTGGTGGCAGGGGTAATGCCGAGAGAGAGAAAGATCCTCTCCCCTCAAGGGGAAGAAAACAACTTTCTGTTATGCTACTAAGTACATTAGGCTTCCTCCAGAATATGGGCGATCGGACATTTTGAGTTTACCGAACAGGGGGACATGGCAGTCAGCACTAACATGGCAGATCTCGATCTGTGCTAGTTGAAGAAATAGTCCCTCCTGTACTCTACGGCCTGCTTTTCCTGCTATGCAAAAGGATAAGCCAGAATTAATACAAGATAAACCTTGAGTTTAAAATCATATTCATTTGATCCTCCCAACACAGTTAAAAGACCACTATTATTGCCTTCATTTATCAATAAGGAAACTGGAGAACAGGAACAATTAACACAGGATTATAATAATATAAATGGGGGAATTCTCAGAAAGCTTCACTCCCAAAAGAAGAACTACAGACAATTGCTGGTTGCTGAGAGACAGAGAATCAGTCTTCTCCAGGGAAGAGCCCCCTGGTAGGCTAGGAAATCTCAGGAGGTCCTAAATACCTGTGAGCCACAGTAAATGAGCTTGGCAGCTTACGTTTATAAACTTAAATACATGCATACATAAATGTGTGTGTGTGTGTGTGTGTGTGTGTGTGTGTGTGTGTGTGTGTGTGTGTAACAATTATGATTTAAAGATAAGAGGCCGTGAATCTGAGGAGTGGAAGGGACCTGAGAGGAATTGGAGGGAGGATAACTAGGGGAGAATGATGTAATACAGTATTCATACATGAAATTCTCAAAAATAAAAATTTTAAATTGTAAAAAATTATACTATTTGGCTGTGAACCTGCTCTGCAGTTCAGGCAGCTTTTTTTTTTTTTTTTTTTTTGGTTTTTCGAGACAGGGTTTCTCTGTGTAGCTTTGCGCCTTTCCTGGAACTCGCTTTGGAGACCAGGCTGGCCTCGAACTCACAGAGATCCGCCTGGCTCTGCCTCCCGAGTGCTGGGATTAAAGGCGTGCGCCACCACCGCCTGGCTCAGGCAGCTTTTAAACTTGACAATCCTCTGCCTTGGCTTTTCAAGTAGCTGGAGTTACAGGCCTGCACTACTGGGCCTGGCGTTCTCACTGTTCTTATCATGAGTCAGTAAATTAATTTAAAATAAATCTCTCTTCATCTGCTATGTGCCATAAGGAAAATTTCCAGAGACCTTGCCTTAAAAAGGAATTGTAATCAGTTACGTTTATTCTACAGGAGAAAGGACCCACAGAGCTTCTTTGTGCTCAATCCAGAAGTCATCTCCAGTATATCCTAAGTTGCATTTTGAATGGCTGGCTGTATCATGATACATACTGCCTGGTTGGATATTTTTTCTTTCTTTTAAATAAGTTGCATCTTACATTATTTTCTAAAGCCCTTTCTAAATAACGGCCATGGACCTGCTAACTCTCCACATAGACCTTGCTTCATTTCCCTATCACATACACCACTGTTTTACATACTACATTTTCATTACTTTGTTTTCTCCTCTCCAGAATGTGAGCCATGTGAGAGCAGGAATTTGTCTGTTTGCTCAACAATACATACCCAGAGCACAGACTAGTTCTTGGTTCTTGTTGGTAAATGCTCAACAAATGTCAAATGCATGATGGTGAGCTAGCTCTTCCTCACTTGAAGCAGGCATTTCTCAGTATTATCCTCCTCTTAGGAGTTCCTGATAATATTCAACAAAAGCAATGCATTTCTCCCAAGTTCTCTTGCAGCTATGTAAGGTCATGTGACCATATTGAACCAATGAGTTAAAATAGAAGTGTTATACTGAACATTTAGTGAACTCTACAATTGCTTTCCATGGCTTCTGTAGTGAATTATCTCAAATGTGGTGGTTTAAAATACTGTACTTTTATTCTCTGATAGCTTGAGAGTTTAGAAATTCAAAATTGGTTTCAATTGGAGAAAGTCAGAAGGTTAGGAGGGCTGCAGTTCTTCTGG